AAACCTCCAGGGTAAGCATCTTAACGTTATTGTCACTCCGTTCAGGTCTGCTTGACGTGTGTGAATGTTTCTTATATTTACATACTCTTTATTAGGAGAAGTTGTGTTATGAAGTTGTGGTTTCTGTAACAGGTATGATAGAGCAAGGGGTGTTGAAATCGGGAACAAAGACGTGAAGCTTGAATACTTGGAAGAAGCATTCACGACGTCAAACTGGATAGTGAGGATTTACAAGGTTAAACCACCGAGCAACAGGTGGTAATGTAACAACCGAGAGTTTTACTTATTACTGTTATAGGAATCGGACTTTTTCTGTTTTGGCGAAGAGTCTAGAAAGAAATCCGCGGATTCTACCTTTGTATCGAGCCTTCGTTATGTAACTTTTTATATCTCCGAGTAGGACATATCAACTCTGTTAATTTAGTATCTGTTACATACGAAAAGATTGCGAATTCGAAAGGGATTATTATGGTCATGAAAGCCTGCAAATTTGTAGCTTGTTTTTGCTACCATTTTGGTGGTTATCACTTGATTCACCATATCTTTCCTTTTCATGAAAAGTTGACTATATATGGCTTCTAAATCCTACTGAGATATATTAAGGGGCCGTTTACCAAACACTTACCCGGTAAGCGTTTACCGGTAAATTTGACACTGTCATTTACTTACCGGATAAGATTTTAGTTCACCAAAACGGTATTGTATGCAACAATTTACCCGGTAAGCGCTTACCATGGTAAGAGTCTTCGCCTTCACTTACCGGGTAAGACTTTTGGTCCTTGTCTCCTTCTTACCTGGTAAGATTCTTGATCCTTACTATATTCATCCGATAAAATAAAATGACTTGGTGTTTACTTACCCGAGTAAACGTTTGGTAAATGGCCTCTAAGTTTCTTGGGTTGATGTCTGTTTGGTAGAAACCATCAAAATGCACTTGGATTAGTATGTTAACCATAAATTCTCAGTTGTCCGAGTTATGGTTGCTTCCAAGAGCATCTCTGTTTCGTATTTTGAACTTTCCAACATTAATTATCTATATTATATTATAAAGTATTTGACAAAAATTTTTAAAAACCATTTTTTATACATAAAGTACTGTATATTGACGCATATTATTTAAAATTCAAGATTACAAGTAAATTATATATAAATACAACTTATTAAAGCTTGATGTTTGAATTCATATAACTAATTGTGGATAAACATAATCAAATAGAGGATAAACATCTCATTTTAAAATATAAAAAATCTAAAATATAATTAGAATAATTATCGAGTTCTAATAAAATAATTAATTATTATTTTTATAAGAAAATTATATTATTAAATCTATACTATATTATAAAGCATTTGACAAAAACTCTTAAAAATCATTTTTTATGCATAAAGTACTATGCATATTATTTAAAATTCAATATTACAAGTAAAATATGCATAAATACAACTTATTAAAGCTCGATGTCTGAATTCATATAGCTAACTGCGAATAAACATAATCAAATAGAGAATAAACATCTCATTTTAAAATATTAAAAATCTAAAATATAATTAGAATAGTTATCGAGTTCTAACAAAATAATTAATTATTATCTTTGTAAGAAAATTATATTATTAAACCAAATATAAATTACTTCGTTATTGTACCAAAATAAAATTATAATAAAAAATTGAATTAAAAAATTACACAAAAAATGAAGAATTTTAAATAGTTAATTTGACACTAATATCGATATATTTTTGTCAAATTTTTATGAAATCTTCAAATTTATATTTTATTCAAAAATAAAAACATCATCGTTTTCTCAAAATCACATAAGACCATATTATAATATCGACTGTGATAAAAAATAAAATAAAATATTAAAATGAAGATGTATCTCGCTGCATTGCTCGAGTACCCTTCTAATATTATTAAAATATTCAATATATTCTAATGATTCAACAAACTTTTGGCATTTAATTGGTGGGAACAATAAAGATGCGACGGTTGAAAAATCTTGATGAAATCAGTGATAAATGGACGACAAAATTGTTGATAAAAAATAAAATCCAAAAAATAGAAAACATAATGTCTTTGTTAAAATGGCATAACGTTATGCCCCAGTAAATGTAATGTTGTATTGGTTACAACATTATTTTATGTGAATTATACTGGTTTTGTTACAACTTTTAGTTTGTGACAGTTTTAAACGTATGAAACATGGCCGAATATCGATGATTTCAAATTGAAGAAATGTAAGTTTACTATCAAAATTTATCTACAACACATGAAACGAAAAAATTACATTTTCCCAGGCATGTAAAAATTGCGCATTATCATACTTCGTCGATCACGAAAATACAAGAAATCTGGCTTTTAGGGCATGAACAATCATTTTAATTTTGAGGTTCGAAAGTATTTTGATTTGTGAGAATAAACCACGGACTCGACACCTATTTATCAACGAAATTGTCCGAAAAAAACATCTGGTCCATGGGCCGAGCCTTGTGACATGTCACTTAACTAGTCAAGTTCCAAAAGATCGTAACCGTTGGTATCACCTGGTAACCAGTAATCAACCATAATTGGTCAACACCTTTACTCATATACATACTCGTATATGCGTAACTGAAACCCCAGATTTCTCATCCATTCTGTAATGATACCCACCTCTTTATCCACTAAGCTAACGTCACAGAAACAAAACTAGGAAATAGGTTTTAAAATACAGTTGGTATGCAAACAGGATTGGACTAAGTTACCAGGCTATTTTGCCGAGCTCCTTAGAGAGAGTTGTCTCACGCCCTTAGGTATTCTCTACCTACCCACATTGCCTGATAGGTAAGAGGATAGCAAGTTACAAATTCTGGCTCAGTAGGACATTGTATGCGCCAATTGCCATGTAGCTAATAAACCAATGGATATTTAGGTTCCGCAAACGGTACTTCCCGATACTGTATTTGAAGCAGTTGTTCAAATTCCTTATGATATACAACTGAAACAAGTTCTTGCTGATGGTTGAAAGGGTATGAATGTAGGGGTTGGTCTTATTTTACCAAAGGGCAAGCAAGAATAACGTAGGCAGATGAAAGAATTACAAAAGATCCTACGGTTTTAATCTGACATGTGGTTCAATAACTTTACCCATGTTATCCCATCTTCTAGTGTTGCACCCCTGGTGTCATGAACTCATTCCTGCCCAGAATCACACTTGGCCTCTTTCAAAATGACAACAATCAATGAGCCATTTGAAGCCATGAGAGCAACATGAAACTAAGTCATAAAATAGAAGGATAACATACAAGTGGCAAATCCTACAAATACCAACTAAAGTACAAGACCAAAGAGTCGATAGAAACCATCTAAGTGTGTGTTAGTTAGCATCATGACTACATTTATACATTACCAAAAGCAATGGTTCATGGAGTCTTGATCGATCCCTTTTGAGATCGTCCTTCACTTACCCAAGTTTTTAGCTGAAATGATCATGCAAACATCTACCTGCGGTGCCAAGTGTCCTAATTTCAGTGAAACACTGCTGGTTCCTAGGTTTGAATATGTGATGGTGCATTCGCGTCTGCTCCAGCCAGAGTTTCCAGTTCTTGTAACGCCCCTAATGCAGCATTTCCGTAGTTGGGATCTATGCACGGCTTCACCACGCTTGCCACTTGCTTCACTTTTGATTGCTGCAACCAATTTGGTCAGGATCAGGACAGAAAATCGGTAAAAAAACTCAAACGAACCCAGTATATCTTACACACAGGGATAGGGTTCTGGGTAAGGATGTAGAGAAACTGTTTTCATGAAGACCCATGACTTGCAAAACAAAAATTACAAGAAAAGTACAGAAAAATAGTAAAACCAAATGAACCCAGTATTTCCATGTAGAGGAAGGGTCTAAGGGTAGGATGTAAACAAAATATTGCCTTTTACGCCAAGGGGTAGAGAGGCTGTAAGTGTCAAGACTCCGGCTTGCCAAATAAAGTAGTAGGGAAGTATAGAAAAATAGTGCATAAAACAAATAGATGAAGAAGCATGACCCTGATTCTATTACTCAAGCCCATGACCTTCTGGTCAAAAAGGAGTATCCTTGTTGGGTGCATTTGGTATGCAGACATGACAAGACAGGTGATAGCGAGGTAGGTGAGTGAAAGAATTGTGGAAGGTTTTAGGGGTTATAATTTGACATGGATAGTTTAGTAATTTACCAATCTTGTCCCATCTCCTAGATATTGTTCCACCAATTTTGGTGGGACAAAAATCCAGCGTAAAGTCGTGCCAAACATAGGACAACAAGTATTTGTTATGTCCTCTATCCTGCGTACCAAACCGACCAATTGTAAAAAAATTGTTTTCGACTTACTAGAAGCTCATATTTGCTCTTCAATTCTTGATAAACTACAAGCTGTCGTGGATCTGTCACTAGTACTGCTGTCCCAGATCCAATCTGCAGTACGAAAAGCACATGGGATACAAGCCTTTGTTAATCAAAAGATGTGATGTATTCAGCAAAAAGAAGGATTCCAATGGATCCATATGATTTGTCTCTGCATAAAAAGGTATATTTACTAGCGAAAACAATAGTATACATGCGCAGAAAAAAAATCTGGGAAATCGTATATAAATGCAGATTCAAATGTACGGAAAATTTGTCGACGGAGGAAACAAATCACATCTTTCAGTTTATTTCACTGATTCCCTGACTCTAAATAAATCTTCTTTGATCAGGAAATATCAAGCATGGAATACAAATACATTCATAGACAATTCTTCTTGGATCTGTGATTTTGTAGTTGTGCAATTTCAAAATTGTAAATGGTTAGATTATTCATTAGTACCTAGACCTTAAACCCAAATGAATCTTCCAAATATAGTCTATCTACAACTTGCTAAAACGTCTGATTCACTACGAAGGTTGTTTTAGTAATAGCTTTGAAGCAGGGGCAGCAAAATCCATGGAGGTAGGGCAAAGATCTATGTTATTACGGCGGTCTAAATTCAAAATAGCTGTCAGGACCGTGATTTGATAGCGGTTATCGTGATGGAAAAGCGCTGGTATAGTGGTCCAGATAATAATTGAAATTATGCATGTATGTATATACAATTTAAACACTAAAACATCAACTTAAACAAGTCAAGTTCCACGAAAACGAAATAGCAAAAGACAATAAATTCATGACCCCTTGACCGTTAAATGAAAGTTGCAGATTCAAAAGGTTGGTTCCTGCTAACTGTTATCCTCCTGGAACGGTGGAAGAATATAAAAGAAGCCTTTGCATGGTCCTCCTGGAACCATAGAAGAACCTAAAGAAGCTTGTCACTAATCCTCGTGGTGGAACTTAGAACAGAAGATACTAAGACTGCAGCATTTGCAAATAGCGGCTATAATTAGTATGTCGTCAAAAAATACCAAGACAAACATCCTCAAATATGGTTTGAATAGTTGGCTCATTAAACCTCGTAATGTTAAGTGGGAGCATTGGTCAGCCCAAAGGGCATTACCAAAAATTTAAAATGCCCATAGTGAATTTTAAAAGCACTCTTATGAACATCTCCGGGTGCAACTCTGATTTGGTGGCATCCTCCTCTTAAATCAATCTTAGAAAAAAAAACTAAGCACCATGGAACTCATCCATTATTAATTCTTCGATAAGTGGGATGGAACATTTGTCAGGAATAGTCATCCTATTTAATGCTCTATAATCTATGCACATTCTCTAACTTCCGTCATTTTAACCTCCTCCACTCCTCCATGCAAAAGAGCTGTTGGTCCTTATTGCTCCCTGATTGAGCAATTCTTGAGTTAATTGTTCAATAAAAAAAATTGCAACAACGGGTAACGGTAGGGTAACTCGAGCAATTCTTGAGTTAATTGTTCACTGGGTTTGAACCCTCCTTCAAGGGCATATTATGATCAAACCCTTATCTGAAAGGAGGTAAAATCGTGGGGTTTCTTAAGAGATTGTGGTAAGTGCTTAATAGTTGTTGCAAATCAGTGGGAAGTGGTTGGTGTATTGGTGGGTGTGTATTCGAAAGTCATGTCATGGTATTGTTGTAGTACCTTTTCCATCCTTGAGTTACTCATTAACACGTTTTTAGATCCTTGGATTAAGAAATCAATTGTATGATTCACAAAATAGAACTTGAACCTTGCCCAACGATGTGAACCATTAGATGCCCAAAACAACGTCACAACCTTCCATAGGTATTAAGTACATATCTGCAGTAAAGGTAATTACTTGCATTTTCCACTGAAATCCTTCTATCACCGTGTCACAAACTACCTTACCACCATCTGCAACCCTTACCATCCTCGAAGGTTTTTGCACCGGCTTGCACCCCAACTTTATAGCTAATGTTGTGCCTATAAAGTTGAGTACTTCCGGAATCCAACCAACATTCTCATAGTTTGGTAATCGGCAATTCCAACTAAAGCATTCACAGATATCTGAAAGAATTCCTTGTCTAATTCTTCTTTTTCCCCATCTTGTTCTTTATCCACATCTTCAAAATTCTAAATGATTCAGCTGAGGCCATTTCCCTTGCACCGATGCCCAAACTCATACTTTTCATTACAGAAAAAACATAACCCCCGTTCAGCAGATTCAGTAAAGAAACAAAGTTGTACGATTTAATTTGGTTTGAAGGGACCTCCAGATTGTCTTTGCAGGTTGTTCATTGGCTTCTATGTGGTGTTTTGGGTTTCTGCAGGGTTGGTGATCAGTCCCGATTTGTTGAGTATGCTGGTGCTTGGAGTAGGGAGAATTGGTGATCTGATTGATGGTTTAACCTTTTGTTTGTTGCTTAGGTTAGACTCATGAATTTTTGCAAGAGCATGAGCTTGGGAAATAGTCGTGGGGTGAACATTCTCACTAAGCTTCTCACATCTCCTAACAGGGCATTAATGGGGACAATTGTAACCCGTTGATGATGCTATCAAACTCATCACGATATTCCTTGACTGCGCGGTCTGCTTTAATCCCACTAGCTCGACCATAGGGTTGTCAAATGGCTCCCCCCATCTGCCGGTTATGTCTATCATATATTGATGTAGGATTCACATGACTCCTCCCATCCATATGCCCTTGATGCCACTATAGAGCTCTACCTTCCAGGTGAATAGAGGCTAATGAAACCTTGGTATTCCCGTTAACTTGGTTCAATTGAAAAAACGAATCCACCTTATACAACCATGCTTTCAACTCATCCCCACCAAAACATGGAATTCCTACTTCCATCTATCTCAGTGAATTGGAATTACCAATTAACTCTCCAAGTTTTGGGCCAGATTTTTTATGGCAAGTGAAACCGATTTGTGTTGATGGTTTACTCACATCTTCAACAACCATATTAGGACCAATATTTCCCTTAACCTTATCTACCATCAACTGTTTTGAGCATTACCTCTAACTCTTCTGCTTGTCAATGCATCGAGATTGCTCTTATCGTTGATCAATGCCTCTTCTCCCGATTTGGGTGGTTTCATCACTTTCACATGTGCTGCACCATACCCGTGGTGATCACAATGATTGATCGCCAAGAACCACTATGATGCAAATCGAGATTGATCTCAGCTAACGCTAGAAAGATTTTGACGGTTAGCCAGAACCCTACTAATCTAGAGAGTCAATGGAAGAATGACTCGAGAAATTAGAAGAGGGAATTAACGAATTGAGAAATTGAGATTGCAGAGAAGAAACAGAGAATATTTTTCATACCTACGAGATTATTTGAGAGCTTCTTTGCTAACATCCTCATATGGAAGAGTTCCTCTTGCTGCTACGATTGGAAATCCTGTATTTTATTTGAAATCTTTTCTAATAGGTAATCTAGTATGCTGACTTAACGGTGATTATCCCTTCACAAAATAACAAACTATACGCTTCTTACCAGATGATGACACGTGGCCTTCTTAAAAAGTTGGAAATATCTATATTATTACAGTACTATATTGCCTACTACGAAGTGGAGCCTTCATTTGTATCGGGGTTGTTGGTAAGCGTCTCTTACTCGGTAAGCACTAACCAGGCAAGAGTCTTATCCCTCACTTACTGAGTAAGATTCTCGGATCTTGTTATTCTTGTTACCAGGTAAGATTCTCGGTCCTTGCCATGCTCACCTGGCAAGTTAAGCGACACCCAATAAGCACCTACCCAGGTTAACGCCCCCTTACTTTTGAAAATTGGAAGTACACACTTATTTTGGGACAAACTAAAATAGAAATATGGACACTTATTTTGGGACAAAGGAAGTATTTAGGTGTGTCAAATAGTTTGTAGGAAACGGTGGAGGAATACAACAAGGGTGGTTTTCTACTAATCTGGCAAACAAATAGGACAGTTTTTCAATTCTACCAACTGCTTAGCAAGATCTGTCAATCTCTCAACCATTTACCATAGAACAGCAGTAGCCAGACCGTGGCAACACAAACTGTAGCTTTAATCTGCTTGGATCAAAGGACGAATGGATGATGAATGACAGATCGTGGCCACACTTTATTTCAGATTAAACAGGAGAGAATCGAGAGGCAAAAAGAGAAGATCAAGAGAGACCCCAACAAAATTAGATGGCCACAGTGCTGCTAGGAAGAGACTTAGCACGCACTTATGAAAACAAAATTCATAGTTGGTCACAAGTTAAAACTCTGCAAATACTTCATTCTCCAATAGCATCTTCTAAAAACCTCCACCCACTCAACTGCATATCTTATCTTTTAAAAGAGTTGCCATCTCCAGAATGAAAATGAAAGAACTGTAATGCCCTTTGCTCAAAGCAGGCATACTGACTCGATAACCTCCGGCTCAATTTAAAAATGCGTTAGGAAGTTATTAGTATCCCAAGACTGAGGGCTTATAATAAGGGGACTCACAATTCATATCACCATTGATGTGTGATGGGTTGTCATAAAACCTTACACCACTCCAGTAATCCATGGTGCCTACAAAGGTCATCCTTAAAATGCCTCTTTTGCTCAAGAACCGGCTAGAATTTTCATACCCCCCACCCCCAAAAAAAAAATTATACTATCCTGAAGTATACCAAACTGTAAATCTCAAAAATATAACTGAAAATAAGGTCATAAAAGGGTAAGGGATCAAAAGCAACAGCAATATAAGGCAATCTAAAGTCACAAGCACACCAATCAGGGTGAAAACAAAAGTTGGCTCTTGGCTTGTAATATCAAGCATGCAGCACTAGGGGCCTTTGGCACAACCTGTGTCCATGTCTCTTGAAACCAATGCTCGTGCGCTCGAGACTCCTCGTTGGAATTAGCAGATGTGATCTCTTGCTTTCCTTAGGTTTGTGTTTCTTTGTTAGTTCTTTTTGCTTGTTTATTTCTACGTCCCTTTATCTAAATAAACATAACGCATACAACTCAACTGATGGTGTTCATCCTTTTATTGATGGATGCTGTAAAGTACTGATGTTTTGGAAATGATGGCAGAC